GAAATCAAAGATGAATTCACAATCAAACCTGACAATGCCAGATGCCGATTTATGTTATGATTGTACAAACATTTCCTTGAGTCCTACACCATCTCAAACATGAGAAGGGTTCTTAGCTGAGTCTCTATGGAGTATGGATGATGACTTCATGAGATGTGTTTGATCACAGAAACTTTGAAAGATCACCTCTAGCTATCAATAAAGCCCCACAGGACTTGAAGCTCCAGCACAAGCCAGCACTCAAATCTTTGAAGGTATGAGGAGAAAGACCAAGAAGGTGACATAGGAGTCCTTCAGCGTGGCACTAAAGGCTGATTCGGATATGGCTTTGCTGTGTCTCCTTAATTTCCTTATTTTACCCAGCCTTTTACTATTATTAAGGCCCAGGTTTTATTCCAAAAGATTTAATGTTTGCTTTTTCTCATGTTCTGAGGAGCTTAAAGAGGTTTATCTATTAATCCAACGGCCAAGAGCTGTTAGTCTCCATTACACACACACACACACACACACACACACACACACACCCAAAATGTCTCTCTGCAACTACTACTCTCAGATGAGTCTTTTCAATGAGATTTTGAAGAAGAAATACTTTCAGCATATTCTCCAATTCCCCATTCAACAAGATCTTCTGTTGTGTTCCATGTTAATAGGAACTGTGCTACATCAACACACATCTGTAATATAAATGCAGAGGCAGTGGGGAGTAGTGTATAGAACACTGAACTCGGAATCATGAGGATGTGGGTTGAAATCCATCTTGGACACTTAGCTGTGTGACGTTGGATAAGTCACTTAACCTCTGAGTCTCAGTTTCCTCAACGGTAAAATAGGACTAACAATAACACATACCTTGCAGGGTTGTTTATTACATTATCTGTACATGTATTATCTATAAATGAACAAACTAAAGAATTTAGACGATCCTGTAGGCAACAAGGAGCCTCCAAAGGTTTGAGAGCAGAAGACGAAAATTAGAGATGTTCTTTAGAGCAAGTGATCTGGCAGGCGTGCACATGGCAGTCTGGGAGGAGGTGGGGGTCACAATCACACCAGAAGGTGACTGTCAAATGCCTTTCCAAAAGGCAGGTTTCCCTTACATCAGCTTTCTCCCGAATGTCCCAGATTCACAGTCCTGGGGGCCATAACCTGAGGTTCTTCTAGAAGGATCTGTTCTTGATAAATCCACGATGGCTTCTGGTAAATCACAAATGGGAGAGTTCTAGGTGGCAAAGTGACATAACCTTCCATGCACAAAGATAATTCCGACCAGCAGTGGCATGAATAAAGAATGATCTGAAAGGAGGAGAAGGTGAAGATGGGAAAACATGTTGAGAGTCTACTGCCACAGTTCAGAGGGGTGGGGATGAAAGTCTGGGCTAGGGAGGCATAGGTGAACATAAAGAGGAGGGGTTTGATGTAAGATACTGCAAGAAGAGAGTCTTGTCAAAGGACACAGGAATGATGAACAAGAAATGAGGCCGAGATCTCTCCAAGCGCAAGGTAACATCAAGGTTTCATACATGGAACACTGGATAAAAGGTAATACCACTGGCAGGAAGAGAGAAGTCAAGATGAGGGGCAAATTGTAGGGAAAGGAGAAATTACAGGAGCGTTTCTAAGGGATGGGAGAAAGGAGGTGTACAGCTAGTGGGAAGTCACAGTGATGGGGAAAAAAAGAACTGAAAGAAGAGTGCCAATGAAACACTGAAAAACAAACCAAAGAGAACAGAAATTCCAAAGGGGACCCAGGCAAGCTGAATAGTTTTATTATTATCATGCGAAATTTAAAATGCACTAAAAAACAAACTATGAAATGGATAGTCACAATTTCATATAAAATCCCCTTTTTTGTTCTTTGTATATTTAAAAGTTCAAATGTGTTACAATTTGGATTTTCATTAGCACAGAGGCTTTTGGGCTTTTTGTATGTCCTGGATCCCTTTGGCAGTCAGCCTAGCAAAGCCTATAGATCAGAAGTGGGCCTCAAGCCTATAGACCAGTGTGGCCTCAAGGCCACATGTGGCCCTCTAGGTCCTCAAGTGCAGCCCTTTGACTGAATCCAAACTACAGATGCTTCTCATTGAGTGGAATGAAACAAAATACATAGAATTACAAAGGAAACCAATGAGATCAACACACAGTTATTGAAATACTTTCTTTTAAAACCAAATTCACAATACAAGGTAAAGAGCTCCCTTCACTTGAAGAAGCTCTCACAAGAAACACATGAAGAGCAATTACTGTTGGCAATAGGAATCTGGCAGAAATCCACTAACTGTAGATCAGAATTCTCTAGGCAAATACCTTGATTAACCACCCCACCCCCCTTCCACAGCAGCTCCCAGGCCTAGATCGGGGGGTGGGGGGGGCAATACTCATCTGCCATGCCGGTCAGCAGCAAGAGTCAGAGAGATCAGCAGCCACAGTCATGAAGACTGAAGGAAGCATGCGAGGGCCATGCAGAGATGCTGCCACTTTTGTACTTCTGCTAGTACCAAGTAATCAATGGGTATGTACAAAGTCAAGGTTGGCATCCCTGATAACAGAGGAGGAAGAGGCTGGCACGCACCACCTCCTGTCTGCAGTGGAAACAAATCCAAGAACTTTTCATGAAAACTGGTTTCCCCCCAAATTCTATTAACTAAGGGGTCCTTCTTCCTTCCTGTAAAACTAGGTTTTTAAAACTGATTATTTGAAGAAGGTAATTTCCTTCAAAGTCTCCAATCTAAGTTCCTCAGAAGAAATCTCTAGTCACCTTCCCTGGGGAGGATTCAGTAATGGTAAAAATGGTTGCCGATACCAAGCAAAGATATAAGTTCCTTGAGGACAGGGAAGTATTTCCTGCTGTTTTTGTATCCGTGGCACCAAGCATAGGGTGTGGCATATGAGAAGCACTTTCTTGTTACACTGAATTCAGTTAACTAAATGATAGTGGCAGAATTTTGAGTACAAAATGCCCACGGTGAACAGGCATGATTGTGATGTTGTTTTTAAGGTTTTATGGCACCTTCTTACCATATCCCAAAGTCTCTCCAATGTCAGAAGTTAACAATTTCACCATAACAATGGATTCCCTTGCTCCAGCCCTACAAGCATCTCAAGGTGAAAAGGCAGGTTTTCTATATGTCTGAAACTCCTGAGAAAAAGACCAAACTGAAAATGCAGCCATGTAGTAGGCAGAGCACACAACTGTCCACCCTGGAGCTTGGCCAAGACAGTAGAAGAGACTTTCTCAATTGCCAGAATTAGAAAAAGCTTTAAATCACACTATTCCATAGTTACAAACACACCGGCAATGGAGTGAAAAACACTGTCCTCTGGGGAATCACCAACATTTTCTTCAGGCTGAACATCAGCTCTGAATGGATCAGAGCCTTGGGTGCTTGGCTGGGAGCCATGGAAATGTTTCATTCCTCCTTATGTGGACAGAAACATTTGGAGAAAAATCTATCTCTGTTTTTGGCCATATGCCCAATGAATAAGGTGGAGGAAGTGCCATGCCAAATTTAACAACATGCATTTATCAGGTGCTGAATATGTGCCAGGCAGGATGCTAGACAATGGAAACACAAAGCAAAAAATAAGGTGGTTCCTACTCTCAAGGAGGTTACATTCTAGGGGGCTGGTTGATGTGAGTGGGGAGGAGAAGAATGCCAATAACTGTGGTGGGAGGTAGGGGAGAACAGGAAAGGCTCTTGAGCCCAAGGTTAAATATTGTACAACCCAAATCTAGATAGCCCACTTCTCTCAGTTCAACTTAACAGCTGAACTAAACTGTTGTTTAGGCTAAACACATGCACATTCTCCTTCTTCTTCCACTTTCTGCTACCTTCCCCTGGAGAAGAGAGAGACAAATTTTCCCATCTATAATGAATCCTCAGGGATTCAGTCCCTCCCACCCTAGCATCCCTTAGCTACTGAACTGGATTCATTGGAAACAAAGAAGCATTTTTAAAAATTTATTTATTTCAGATCTCTCTTTCTCTTAATATGTATCTGGCACAGGTTTATCAACAAACATATTTTATTCTATTGGATAAGCCTGGAATATTGAAGATCCGGTATTAACTTTATCATCTCTTCAGCCTATTAAATCTCAAGATCCTCTGTTGTAAACTTCCTGAGATGGGATGGTTCAAATTTTTTAAGACTGCTGAGGATTTATTGTTCTAAGGTTTGAAAAAAAGAACGCTGGTAGACTTTTAGTCTTATTTATTTGTTTATTTTGTGAGGCAATTGGTGTTAAGTGACTTGCCCAGGGTCACACAGTTAGTAAGTGACTAGTATCTGAGGCCGGATTTGAACTCAGGTCCTCCTGACTGCAGGGCCAATGCTCTATCCCATTGTTCCACTTAGCTGCCCCTAGACTTTAATTCTTAAATGATTATCTCGTTTTATTTTATCTTATTGAAGTTTCATTGATGTCTGTCACTTTTATGTCATGGTGAATTTCAGATTTGCCCATTCCCAAGTAGGCATCCCTTGTAACAAGGAAAAGCAATTATTAAGTAAAATGGAACATGGAAACATATTGAGAAGGCATGCAGCCAACTGCTCCTGGAGTTCTCCCCATTCTCAGGGACAGAGGGAAGGCCACGTCCTCATCTCTTTTCAAAGGCCAAGACTGACTATTATAATTACAAGGCACTTAGTTTCCTGTTAGTGATCTTTTCATAGAACTGCAGTCATGTGGATACTGTTTTCCTAGTTCTGCTCACTTCACTCTGAGTCAGTTCATATAACCAGCAGAGTACCTGCCCTTTAGGAGTTTATAGTCCAGTAAAGGAGAACAGATATATACAAAAATAACTACAGCACACATCTCTGAGCATTATTATACTGTGTCCATAGAAACAAATTACTTTTCTTGTTAAATTGCCCTGGACTAAATCAACCACACTACATGGAAACATCCATTGCACAGAGAGGGTTAATTATCATTCTGAATGGGCCTTGTGGAACTAAAATTGATTTTGAAAATAATGGCCGCGTCTTACCAGACAGTGCACTGAAATCTGCATTTCTGCTGAAAACTTCAGAAATCCCCAGGCCCTTCAGGACATCTTTGAGGTCAATTTCCTGCTCTACAGTGAACCTGTAGAACAGATAAGAAAACAATGCATTTTAAACTTAAGGATGGCTTGAAGGAGATGGCAGGTGGTAGGGAGCATATAATCACTGGAGAGATCATAACCAGTAAGCTGCCCAAGCCTGCTCTGGAGTGCAGGTAACATCTGATTGTTGCTGATAAAAGAAGACAGCATCAGAAGGCCTTAAAAGCAGAGAGCATATATACCTCAGAGGGAAAAGTGAGAGTGGAAAGATTAGGAGTTCAAATCAGACACTCATCTCTATTTTAAGCAGCAAACCTATATCGTCCACTGCAGTGGGACAACACCTGGAGGGATCACCAAGTGTTTCCAGAATCAAAACTCATTTGCCCCACAGATGCCCCAGTTGGGCTGTGAAATTTGAGGCGCCTCTCCCTATATTCATCCTTGGATGTTGCATTCCTCTGGTGGCCACCCTCACTACTTTGTATGGTTCTCCAAGGAAGAGTCTCAGAGAATGAACAGATTCTAATCAGAACTCTGCAATATCACGGACTCCAACGAAACCCAAAGATAAAGGAGAAGCAAACAAGTGAGCTTTCTCACTTGGCTGGGCCCAGATTTCTTTTGTGTGCTAGCCCAAATGCCCAGGGGCACTATGAGATATCTAACAGAGAGAAAGCGGGACATGAAGGTGGAGATTCAAGTCCCAACATAGACGCTGACTGGCTGTGTGACCTTGGGCAAATCACTTTAACTTCTTTTTGTCATGGTTTTCTCCTCTGAAAAAGGGGAATAATAGCAACTCTAGCACTTAACTTCCAGGGTTGTCATGAGGCTTAAAAAAAGATAATGGATGTGAAGTGCTTTGCAAACTTTAAAGTGCCATGGAAGGGTTTATCACCATTATTATTAGTGATTGTTATTGCTTCCCAGGTGCAGAGATCAGGACTCTTTCACGACAGCTGACATAAGCCAGTGAAAGTCTGATAGTCACTGAACCATGAGTCACTGTACCACATCTCAAAAACCTCTCCCTTTGGCTGGTCATGTTGAGCAGGGTCCCTAACATTTTTGTGTGGAATTAACCCCTCCTTTGGCCATGCAGTAAAGCTTAGGAACCCTTTCTCCGAATCATGTTTTCAAATGCATAAACAAGACACATAAGATTGCTAGGGAAACCAAGTACACTGAAATACAGCTACCAAAATATTTCTTAAAAACTTTACGGCACTCTGGGTAAGAACCCTTAGGGTAGAGAGTGTTGTTTTTGAGATGAAAATAAGAAGGAAAACAAAGAAGAAAAATACAGAAATGTTCAATTCTATGATAAATGGATGAAAGTATGTAACTGAAAAGGGTGGTCATGAAAGAACAGATTTCTAACTGGAGGGGATCTCAAAATTTCATTTTAGAGCAGAGGGACCAGAATAGAGAGCTGAAATGACCTGCCCAACTTCACCCCCATAGTCACAGGAGTCAAACCCAAGCTCTCTGTTTCTTTCCACTGAACCACACATCAATGAGCTTTTGGTTACAACTCAAGCCAGCTGATCAGTTGGTCAGGATTCCAGGCACCTTATTAAAAGGGCGTGCTCAGGTCTCCCTTTTGTGCGCTCAGCTCTCTGGGGACGTGTCCATATTCGAGACTTCTTCTGCCTCATACTATCAGCCCAGGGGAAGGAGTATTAGATCTAAAATCAGAGGGACTGGGTTCAAATCTGGCCTCTCTCGCTCCCAGCAGGAACGTGGGCAGGTCTCTGGGCCCCAGTGTCCTAATTGGCCTCTTTTTGGGTCCCCAGTGCTGAGTACAGTGTATGGCACATAGCAGGTACTTAATAAATGACTATTTCCTTCCCTTCCTTCCTTTCCAGATGTTTTTCTATGTATTGACTGGTTTTGCTGATTCTTATTCTCTTCTTTTTATTTATTTACTTTTTAATTCTTTGTTAAGAGGATGGCTCTCTGGGAAAGGGAAATGGGAGGGACACCAGGAAATTGAGATCATGTAAAAACAAACAATATTAATAAACTATATTAAGAATTAGTATAAGATTTCATTTCTATCTTACATCTCATTCCATGAGGTCTCCAAGATTGCTGAAAGAGGAAAATAGAAACAATTGCTTCTTTAAAATTTTAAATGGAAGAGCAAGCTTGCTTTTCTAAACCAAAAAAGCGTGAACAAGATTGGGCTGTATTTGTGATCTCTACTCTGGGGAATTTCACAGTGGAGCTCAGTGCCTGGCATTTAGCTCTACAGAGCAAAAGGAAAGTAGAGTGAGTTCCATGAGATCAAAAGATATAAAGGAGACCTATTGCTCAGAAATTAAACAAGTGGGGCCGGTAGGTGGCGCAGTGGATAGAGCACCGGCCCCGAAGTCAGGAGCACCTGAATTCAAATCCAGCCTCAGACCAAACACTTGACACTTACTGGTTGTGTGACCCTAGGCAAGTCACTTAACCCCAATTGCCTAAAAACAAAAAAACAAACAAAAAAAGAAATTAAACAAGTAAAACTCATCAGTAAAGGAGGTAAGTCTTAAGTCAGGGCAGAAAAAAAAAGAGGGAGACTGTGTAAAGCTGAGTGGATTCTCAGCCAGTGAAGTCCTCTGATTGTCATGTTTCAGGTTACAGGAGAGGCATCCCATCCCATCATCCCTGAATTAAAACACTCTGAAGGCAGAGAACCAGTCTGACAACACAGAGTTCAAAGAAAAAAAATAAAAATAAAGACTATTTAAGAAGATGCTTCGATGGCAATGCTAAACACTTACGAATTTCAGACTGCTTTTAGACAATTCCTGAAGGCCTAAAGACAGGTTGGCTACACCAGGCTTGGAACTATGTACCGTAGGGTGCAAATGCTGATGGCTGCTACTACACTCATAAGAGACAGCATGGGGTGGTGAAAAGGGTGTTCGACTTAGTCAGGAAAACCTGGGTTCAAATCCTCCTGAGACACTTACTGGGAACTTCATACCACTGAGACTTAGTTTTCTCATCTGTAAAATGGAGGCAGTAATTACTTCTACCTCCCCGCCCTGTTGGGAGGGTCAAATAAGAAAATGTGTACATGCACTTTGTAAACCTTAAAGCTCAATTTGAATATGGTCCATTATTTTTGGGAGGCACAGATCAATATGTTGAGGCTACTAGAGGTCACTAAGTATCAAAATGTTCCCACCATTAGAAAAAAAAAGAAACCTAAAGTTCTAAAAATATGAAGTGAAGAATGAAGTGAGGAATCTAGTCTGGTTTTGCTAATAAACAGGCATGCATAATTTTTCACAGGGAAAAACAACAACAAAACCCATAAAAACCTTGGACCACTTAAGGCAAAAATTTCAGATGCTTGAATAAACACTAGCATAAAGTAATAAATTATTCATACAAAATATCAATCATGATGGGTATATAGGACAAGATTAAAATTACAGAAAAGTTATGTTTCATTCTCAAGGACAACTGGCGTTTCATGAAAAAAACTAAATACTTCACAACCTCTGAAGACAAGAAAATGAAAAGCATCCTAAGTAAAGGGGGTCGGACAGTCTCTGCTTGGGCCCAAACTCATGAATAAAGCCAGTTATTATCTGGAGTACACATTTAACTCTTCTCAGGTCCAGTTCAGCCTGTGGGGGGAAAAAAATCAAAAGGCCAAGAGATTGTTTTGTAAAGCTAGATGGTTTTAAATTATGAACAAGTTGGCAGTAAAGACCAAAGCTGTCTTCAACCACTGCTCAGTATGTCTCTCCAAAAAAGGGAAATTCAACACAAGATTTTATAGAATTCCTGTCAAAATGGGAAAAGCATGATTAACCTTGCCTTGTTTAGTAATTCAAGGACTAATACAAACGAGGAAATGAAACTATCCACTTTGTAATTGGATAGAATCTTTCAGAAAATGAAAATTTAATTTTCTTCTGCTACAGCCTTTCATTTCTCAGTGGACAGGGCCTGTAGGTTACATTTCCTGGTGAATATGTTTGGTCAGAACATAAAATATTTATGAAGCATTTACTTAGTGCACTGATAAAATCTCATCTCCTGCCTTTAAATCCTAATAGGCACTGAGCAAATGAAGCTATTGTCACTGTCCCTTGGAATTCCAGGGAAGTAAGATAAGTATCATCGAATCTAATCAAATTCTTTGATGTTAGAAGAAAGAAAGAGAGGAAAGGGGAGGAAAAAGGGAGAGAGAGGGAGAAGGGGGGAAGGGAGTGAGGGAGGGAGAAAAAAGTGAGAGAGATGGAGAGAGGAGGGAGAGAGAGGGAGAAAGAGAAAAGAAAGGGAGGAGAGGAAAAAAAACACAATGTATTCTAAATGATTATTTTAATAGTTTAGCTCATTTTGAATTTGATATGACCTGAACAAAATGAAACCTGATCAGCACATTTATATAGTTATATAAGATTAATTACTAATGCTCTAGGGTCAAATGCACTAGTTTTCAAGATAAATGATCCATAAAAATCAAGTATTTGGTGGCTAATTGTTTTCACATGACAATATCCAACTGGAAAGATGTAAAGTCATTCTCTCTCTGAGGACACATCTCGTGCATGGATAAAGTGCCAGGCCTGCAGCCAGGAAGACCTGAGTGCAAATCCAGTCTTAGACACTTAGTAGCTGTGTGACTCTGAGCATGTCACTTAACCTCTGCCTCAGTTTCCTTATCTGTGAAAATGGGTATAATAATAGCACCTATCTTTCAGGGTTGTTACAAGAATCAAATGAGTTCATTGTAAAGCACTTAGAACAGTACCTGGTAATAGTAAGCAATAGTTGTTGTTATTATAAGTGGTCATCATACAAAAATGTCACTGAAGACACTAGTGAAGAAAACTCCATCAGCTCTTATAAAAAAAAAAATAGCTGGGAAAGATACTTAGCATGCCGACTAAGAGTCTAGAACCAAAAAGATCTCAATAGGCAGCAATGATGGACTACATTAAATAGGATAAATTTTGTATTTGTCTAGACTTTCCATAATGATAAATGTAAAGCTCTGTCATTGAGGTGTTTTTTTAAAAATTAACTTCTCAAGAATAGGCTAATGGAAGCATTGCTGGACGAGTCTGTCTGAAAAACAGTAGGGGTTTTAGTGGACTGCAAGTTCAACAGATGTCAGGAGAACATGGAAGTCTAAGAAGGTGACGTGGCCTAGGGCTCCATTAGGAGGAGCACAGGGTCCAGCGAGGCAGCAAAGATGAAGGTAGGGCTGTATTGTGCTAGGATCAGTGAGCAGAGGTCGGGGTGGAGAGCTGTGGGCTAAGAAGCAGACAGGAGAGGGGAGGCACGGACTATACCCACACGCTGCCATCACACCGGCTAGGAAGGGTACGAGCAGGAAGCAACACAGCAGATCTGGGGAAGCTGGGGTTAACTTGCTCCTAGGTGAAATGATCTGGAACCCAGCTTCCTCTGGGAGAGAAGAATATGAAAGCGGTTTTTAGGACTTTGGAGGAGAGTTCCTGAGACCTGGGGAAGCTCCCTGCTGACCACTTTGCACAAGGACTGGCACACAATAGGAGCTTAATAAATATTAGTTAACTGACTTCTTTTAACCTTCTTGCTAGAGACTTTTGTCTGCTTTGATCTTCCTCGATTTCTTTTTAACTGCCTTGAACACTGCTTTTACTGAGGGTATTTGAATATATGTCTTATTAAATGCATTACTGGCCAGTCTCTGAGTGATGCATTAGCCCAGATGCAGAGCAGCCACCTAGACAATGAGGTAGGTGGTGGTAATCCTATTGTCTTCTGTTCTGGTCTGCTTACCTCTGGAAGGTTCGGCTCTAGCTACCACATTTCATGAGGAACTTCAATCACTTAGAGAATGTGGTAACTAGGGTGGAAACCCACCAGGACACCATTTGATGATTATTCAAAAAGCTTGGAAAAGTTGGGTCTAGAAAAGATCTGGGGAAGGGTGGGAAGGGCTGATGGCTGTGTTCAAATATTTGAAGGACGTACTCATAGCAAAGGGATTGGACTTGTTTTGCTTGGCCCTGGACAGTAAAACAAGGAAGAAATGGGAAGAAGGTGCAGAGAAGATCTGTTGTCCGTTTAAAGAAGGACTTCCCTTCAAAAGTATAATGGGCTGACTTGGGAGGTAGAGAGTCCTCCTGTAGAGGCCTTCAAACAAAGGCTGAAGACATTCCTATACAGTCAACTAGAAAGCTTCTGAGACCATTTAACTGAATTAGCAATTCGGGGACATAACAATCCTTAATTTTGTATAAAATCTGTACAAATTGTCAAAAAAAAAGTTTATCTGACTTTCCAATTTCCCTTCATGCTAGGAAGCTCCCTTTGTTGATTATTTCCAATTTATTTTATATATGTGTGTGTATATGTACACATATGTGTATATACATAGATATATGTACATATACATCTAAGAGATACATGTTTGCATGTTATCCTCCTCATTAGACTGTGAGGTCCTGGAGAGCAGGGACTGTCTTTTTACCTTTCTTTATATCTCCAATGCTTAGTACAATGCCAGGCTGTATACAGTAGGTGCTTCATATATGTTCATCACTTGACTGACTCATTCCACTAATATTCATTGAGTACCTACTAAGTATAAGACACTGTTATAGCATCTCATACATCTCCGAATTAGCAAAAGCCAACTATCAATTCAGACTCTAAAGAAACAGCATTTTATTTACAATAAATATAAGTCTCTAAAAATTTCTGGAATTAACAATTGGTATAAAATAACAGCAAGACCTTTTGGCCTTTTAGGGCAATTACATTTTTTATATGTTTATCAACACTTATTGCTAGTATTTAACACACCATTAATTGAAAATACAGAATGAGTGCCTGTTTTCTCAGCTTGTGCATTTTTCCTACATATATTCATCTCTGCACTTCCTAGCTTAGAGACTCCCAAGTTTAACTCCTAAGGATAAAGTGGAGAATGAAAGGGTCCTAAGATAATAAATAGTTCACCACTTGTGGGCTGCAACACTTTGGCAAAGTGGCCTCTGGATCTGCATTCAGGTAGCTAGTTGGTTAAGTGTTAGACTTGGAACCAGGAAGATTGGAAATTCAAATCCTGCCTCAGACCCTTACTAGCTAGTGACCCTGGACAAGTCACTTAATCGGTATTTGCCTCAGTTTCTTCATCTGTAAAATAGGGATAACAATAGTATCTACCTCTCAGGGTTATCAAATAACATGTGTGTAAAACATTTTGCTAAGCTTAAAGCCCTATAGAAACGCTAGGTATTTGAATCAATAAATAGCACACATGCATTCTGTAGACTGAATATACCTCACACACTATCTATCGCTCCTTTTATGAAATGTACATACTGTTTAATTAAAGTCCAATTTCATTTAAATGCATTCTGTCATTACGTATCTTCTCAGGCCAAGGAGATAATAGTATAATTACTGTCCTGTGGGCACACCCATGGACATTTTTTTTCAACTGTAAGAGAAGCTCATCATACTGGCCCAGGGGAGGGAGCAAGAGAGCAAACACTTATTTAATGCTTACTCCAGGCCAGGCAGTTGTTCAGTCCTGTCTGACTCTTTATGGCGCCATTTGAGGTTTTCTTGACAAAGATACTGGAGTGGTTGACCATTTCCTTCTCCAGCCCATTTTATAGATAAGCTAAGTGAGGCAAACGGTTAAGTGACTTGGCCAGGGTCACATAGCTAGTAAATGTCTGAGGCGGAATTTGAACTCAGGGAGATAAGTCTTTCTGACTTCAAGCATGGCATTCTATCCCCCCTGCCATCTAACTGCCCCTCCTGTGTTGAAAGAAAGAAAGACAGAAAGACAGAAAGAAAGAAAGAAAGAGAAAGAAATGAAGAAAGGGAAAGAAAGAGAAAGAAGGGAAGAAGGGAGAGGGTAGGGAAAGAGGAAGAGGGGGAGGGAGAAGAGAGCGAGAAAGAAGGAAAGGAAGACAATTCCTGCCCTCAAGGAACTCACATTCTAATGTAAATTTCTATGCTCCAGTAGGTCTGTCAGTCAAAAAACATTTACTAAGGCCTCTACTACGTGGGAGACACAATGCTAAGCACTGGGAATACAAAGAAAGGCAGAAGACAGTGCCTGGTCCTCAGGGAGCTTACAGTCTAATGGTAAGCTTCTTGAAGGCAGAGGTGGTGCTGCTCTTCGCACCCCGCCCCCCCCAGTGCCAGCCCATTGCTGGGAGGGCCGCCGGCAGAACTGAAATACCCGCCCAAAGCCCTCGGCTTCTCACCTTGGTAGATACACTTCCACTTTCTGCTTCTTCACGGAGTTGGCCCATTCTTCAAGCAGCTGAGGCTTCACTAATGGCTCCAGGGTGACCAGTGGGACTTCTTGTCGGGACAGAACAAGCATCATGCTGATTTCATCCCCTTCGTAGGGTATTTCCAAAACCTGATAGATGCCACCTGCCTCATTGGAGCCATCGCTAAATTCCCCTTAAAAAAAAAAAAAAGTAAACCAATGAAAGGACACAGAAAAACAAGTTAAATGGAGCACAGCAAACAAAGCTTTCTGGATCCACTCCATATCTTCTTTCAAATCTGAAAATAAGGGTACCCAAAAAAGGGTTCATTGGGAACTGGGACTCATTCAAGAGCACTCAAGGATTTGTTTGCATTACTTTGCTCTAAATAAAGTCCCCCCTGCCCAGCATTCCAACCACCGTTCTATTGACTACGATTTACTATAAAATGTGAAATTATGTACAAAATGAGGCATTGAGTGAATGTCACCATGATAATGAACAAAACTTCCCTGGGGAAAAAATTTCAATTAGCCTTACAGATAAAACAAGACACTTCAAAAAGTGGATAAAATGATGATTCAACTATAACAAGAGCCCAGAGAGGTCACGGAACACAGCTGTAGAGCTGAAAGGGGGGTTAGAGGTCATCTAATACTGCCTCATTATTTGAAAGATGAGGAAACAATCCCAGATCAAAGGCAGCTAGGTGGCACAGTGGATAAAGTGCCAGGCCTAGAGTCAGAAAGACCTGAGTTCAAATCTGGCTTCAGACACTTACTAGCTGTGTGACCCTGGGCAAGTCACTTCACCCCATTTGCCTCAGTTTCCACATCTGTAAAATGAGTTGGAGAAGTATCTTTGCCAAGAAAACTTCAAATGGGGTCACAAAGAGTCAGACACGACTGAACGATACAAAGGCCAGATTGGTGAAGGGACTTCCCCAAGGTCAAGCTAAAAGTGGCAGAGCTGGGGTTCAAACCCAGGTCCTCTGACTATCAATTCAGTGCTCGTTTCATTGCACCATGTTGCCTTCTGCATAGTTACACTGTACTCAAGGTGCTACGTGGCACGTTTGGCATGATTAAGACATCTAAATTAGGGAACTGGCCTTGCTTGGCCCATGTAGATCTGGCCAAAGGAAGAGAGATGTTTTCCAAACAAACTTGGCCACTGAAGGCAAACAAAGCAACCCAATCTTTAAATGGACTGGTTCCAACACTACTCTATGACAATGGTCCAAAGAGTATAACTAATGATTCTGAAGTGACCATTTAAAGTTTTTTGTTTCTCTTCTTTGGCAGTCACCACAAGAGATGAGCTACCCAAAATTCACACTAACCATTTAATTCTCTCTTTCTCAAAGTAGATTTTACTCTTTCATCCTTGACTAATGGTTCAGTTTAAACCCCTTGGTTTCATTCAAATTTAATAACTGATTATGGGTAGAATCAATTGTTCATTCTCACTCCATGCTACTATACTCTACATGTATACCATTAGACTGTAAGCTCCTGGAAGGCAGGAACTTCCTTTTGCCTCTTTTTGCATCCTCAGCACTTACAACAATGCCTGACACATGGAAGGAGTTTAAATGTTTATTTATTGATTGATTTATCATTTAAAAATTCCAACGCAATGCCATCTATTGCTGGGAGCAAGAACACTCCAGACTTCTAAATCACCTTAGAACAAAGGCTGGATTATCTAAATGGTTCACTGAAAAATAAACAAACGGCAAAGCACTTTTTTGTCGGCAAGAGTTCATATTATAACTCCTCAAAAAGAAATCTCAGCTGAGAAACTGTCTCTCCAAGTGTAGTCTGCCCTCTTATGAGTGCATGACATATAGGAACGTCATTTTAGCCATTCTCAAAGTATCCAATTTAAAGATAAGGAGCCTTTTCAAACAACACTAAGACAGCTGAATTGTATCCCAAGCTTTGTTGGCAGTTTTATATGGACATCTATTGCACTAGTTATATACTGAGAGAAAAAAATTTCAATGTACAGCCCTATGTGTTCTATTGGTATCCAGAAAATGTCTAGAGATTGAGGAAGCCCAAGCATGTTGGACATAGTCCTGTGGAAAATGTATGGAGGGACATGGAAAAAAGTCTCCTAGGATCAAGGCAAGTTTGGATGAGTTGCTGGAGGGAGTATGTTCACTGAGGAGATCATGGAGCCCTTTGAATATCAGTGTCCCAGAAGCTTCTTAGCACATCACTTAGGTACACAGTGGATGTCCACGTGGCGAGGGGTCCACACCAAGGTCTCTACTTACCATAATAAAACTCTCCCTGTTGGTACATCATTGGAATCTGAGCCTCGCTTTCATCATCTTTTGTGAAAGAGAAGGTTCTTGTGTTTTCAGGCCTAAATTGTGACTTCCAGCTTCCTTTGAAGTAGACGGCATTGATGAGGGCCAGGTGAGTCAAAGCACTGAAATCTCTTGCTAAAACCAAATCCTTCACTAGACCTGACGACGTAGAAACGAGCAGAAGAAAGGAATGAGTGAACAGCTGGGAGCGGAGGGGAAATCTGTAGGAGAATGAGGGGACTTGGGAGAGGCAGGAGAAAGTTCTACGCACAAAATAAACGTGAAGCCAAATGCTCACTTTTCCTTTTTGAAGGTACATTGTTGGAATCGAGATTTGGTTTTAAGAATTCTACATGAAAGACCCCAAAGATGTTTGATTCCATGACCTTGTTCATACTAATAACATTCTGTTGCATAATTGCTAAAAACAGCAATAAAAGGACCAGAATCCTTTCCCATTAGAACTTTTCTAGAGTACCCTGGGGGAATAGCCCCCAAAATAAATGAAATTGGTTTTAATTAGATTAAAATAACAGATGCATGAGACATAATGTGAATGTGTTTCTCCACAATCACGTATGCAGAGAAGGGCGTCGAAGGAAGGGCAGGTGTGGACGGCTTGAGGTCTGCTTTGCTGGAACAAATGCCCATAGTGATGAGACTCTGGCTCTAGTGTAGTATTCAATCATGACTGGCTTTCGTTTGGCTAAGGTTGGTCTGGCCGTGGGCTCCAAAAACATTTTCCCCAAACTAACAATTCTGTGCTTGGGCCTGAAGCAACTTAAAAAAAAAGGAGGCTCCTTCCATAAAAGTTTATAGACAAAAAAATTCCCAATAACTAGACTCATTTCTGATGGATTTTCTACTCTTGATTTACCCATTGAATGTGTGTGTGTGGGGGGGTGGGTGGAGTGAAAGGAATGCAATTTGGCTCCTATGTTTCAACTCGGAGCTGAAGCTTGTTTTAGACCCTCACAAATTGTATCAATAATAACCGTTCGGACGGAAGAGTGTGACTCAGTCAGTGTTTTATAAATGATAGGTTTTCTTTTCAGATTTCCTTCATACTATATAATGTACCCTTGGGAGAAAAATTACTATATTCAGGCAATATTAAAACTATTATTTCAGGAAGTGTACTATACATAATGTTATGGTAATTTCCTCCTTATTTGACCGCTACCATCTGCTTAAATAAAGCCTCTCATTGTGGCATTAGTTTTTCTATCTAATTTAAACCCATTTGGTTTTTAAAGCGAGAAAAAAAATTGAACATTTGTTTGAAAAATAAGTGAAGATTTTATGTGTGTGTACATATATGTGTGTATATATGTATATATATGTATATATATATGTGTATGTATATATATATATATATAAATCCACACCATTTAAGGTTACTCTCACAATATTTTTTTTCTTTCAACTTAAAAACTGAATTGAGTTAAACATTTATTAAGTATATACTATATGCAAGAAAAGTAGTATGATGTGATAGTGAGGAGGAAGGTTCAGATTCAAATGCCATCACACTCTAACTAGGTGATCCAGGCCACTCATTTGGTCAGTCTGTAGACCATATAACTGTCTATAAAGGTATTTGCCAATGGTCACCTAGTGGGAGGAGTTTCCTCACTGGGAACTGCCTATTCTAACGATATCATACACCTATTCCCACCCTCTCTATCCTCAAATAAGTGCAAATTCTTGTTCTTTGAGGGCTCTGCCCTTGAGGACCTTACAGCCTAATTAAATTTCTTTTTCCTTTTTACTAAAGATAACTTACTGTAAATTTGTGTCTATCTCTACTGTCAAGTATGGGCTGAACCAGATTAAAATGTAACTGGGAAATATTTTACAAAATGAAATTATGTTAAAACATAGATAATATTACATTTTAAAACTAAGTCCATATATGGCCCTCAGAGACCCTCACATACGGTTTAGTGACTCCTGTTTCTATTTGAGCTTGATACCACACTTCTAGAGGACAACTACATTACTCTAAGAATCCTCTCTAAATTCTTTTAATTTCTATTTTCAAAGAGAGAGGCAGAGACAGAGAGACACACACACGTAGAGAGAGAGAGAGAGAGAGAGAGAGAGAGAGAGAGAGAGAGAGAGAGAGAGAGAGAAAGAGAGAGAGAGAAAGGAAATCCACTGATTTTCAAAATCAGAAGAGCACAAATTTTCAGACAACGAACCAGAGGCAAAATGGTAGAGGGACAAGTTCTTTTTTAAGGGATAATTTACAAGGAATGCCTGGTTACTGATTTTCACCATTCAATGGAATTCTCACATATCCCAACTATTTGCCATTTTACGTTCTGAAGGTAGCAGAATGTAAAACAGGGCAACACTTGGATTTTTCCCTTTGTCTGGATCTGTCCACAAAAGTTAGACACACAAATTATTTCTAACACAAACTATTTTTCAATAAAGGGCAACAGGTGAAAAAAGGAAGAGAAAAACCTACTGTTGGTGTGATTCTCCACCCACTTGTTGATATAACTGGCTACAGCTTCATTTTGACTGAAATCTACATGATCAATTTCAGCTTGAAAATACTTTTTCATCATCTGCAAGAACTTTTCATTGACATGGAATCCATTTTGCACAAAGAGGGAGTTGGCCATTTTCATCACATACTGGTTCTCCTCAGTGGTTATCATGTCAGAGAGATTCCTCAAGAAGGAAAATTCTTCCCCTGAAAGTGGTCAAAGGAGAGGTTTCTTAAATTGAATTAAACTCAGTGCAAAAAGGTAGAAGAGAAATAATCCAGCTCATTATTACATGTAGATACATTGTTGGTCTAATTATGTCCCTACAAAGATAGCAACATTGGATAAAATCCTGATAGAACTTAGCTTATCTGGCATCATAATTGCAGCAGGGTCTTACCATACAGGCACTTCCTAATTTACAAACTGTTTGCTTTCTAAAAGTAGATGGGAGAACAATAAACATTAGGCCTTGGAGATCATGTATGAATAGGATTTTTGATTTAGAATCGGAAAGGTCCTCAGAAGTCATGAAGTCCAACCCCTTCATTTTACATCTGGGGAAACTAAGGCCCAGAAATGTTAAATGACTTGGCAAAGGTCTGTGCCTGGGCTAGGAAATAGCAGACATGGGATCTGAACCCAGGTCTTCAAACTCTCAATCCAATACCCCTTCTGAAGAAAAAGGTGCATGTAGATGTCAAACAAATACGTACATCAACAAAAAGTTTAACTGTGATGAATTCTAGGCCTCAGGTTCCTCATTTGAAAAATTGGGTTTGTCCAGATGACCTCCCTTTCCTCAGTTCGAAATCTATGCCAGACTTTCTCAGGTATTAGCACAGGAACTAGGTCTAGACTGGTGGAAGGGCAGCAAGGGAACTGGTGAGAAAGGTGACAATACGCGTAGGTGAGGATATGGATTGGGGCTGAGGATATAACTAGGTCTGAACTTGAGAGAGTAGTAGTTGGGGGGGTTGAGGTGTGAGGGGTGGCAAAACATCCTTCTCACCTTTCCCCCATACTACGAGTTCTTCCATTTCAGAAGGACAACAAAAAGACAAGGGTTGAAGGAAAGGAAGATGGATTATCGATGTAAAACTGAAAAAGGAGGAGATTATCTCCACACTAACCTCCTCATTTTAAAGATAAATGGGAGGGCCAAACTAATTCTACTGATCCAACGAAACTGACTGTCAAACACGAGGACTACTTTTGATTAGTTAGAAAGTTAAGTCAAATGGATTCCTTTTACTTTTAATGAGAAGTCTCTTCATAAAATCATACGCTCTAAAGAAACCGCAGGGTCTAATTCAACCATTTTTTTTTTTTACAGGTGGAGAAAATGAGGGTCTTGAGGAAGTTACCTGATCTATTCCAGATCGTGTGGCCATTTGGTGAGGCTGTTTTATTACCTTATACCTAGCTAATTAGGTAGTTGATGAACTAGAGACAGTGGGAAACATTAAGAATCTCTTTAATTTCATTGAAGTTGATTCTAAGGATGAATCCACGTTTTTCTCTGTCCAACTAGAGAACACCAGTACCTGTCTCCTTCACTGATATCTTCCTTCTAGGATTACAAGATTTACAACTAGAAAAGACCCTTCTTTTTACTCTACGTTCTGTCATCTTATTATCACAGCCATCTTTCTAGATGGCCACCAGTTTCAACTCTCTAGAAATCTCTGTCTTATATTTTAAAAAACAACATTTTTTAAACAAACTATATGAAGCATCACCAAAGAACTTTAAAATTGTTTTGCAACTATTTGCATACATTTAAATAACTGTATTTCAAGATATGAAATATCACATCAATTTTTTTTAGGCCATCCTTCTCTCCAAAGGCCTTTCCAAAAGGCTTCTCTGCCTCTTTTTCTTGTCAAAACTTAGTGTATATATTCTGGTCTTTTAGGGTCTGGCTTCTCCCATTGTGGGACAGGTCTTTATTTCCTAAATGTCTTTTCAGATCTACTTGTACTCATCCTACCTGTTGTCTTAATTTCTTTAAATACCATAATTTTATTAAACACTAGAATGATATTAAGTTTACCACAGTTTATTCAGTCATATATTCACAATGAAAGACATTTAGACTGCTTTTACAAAAACAGACCATTCTGTTAAGAAAACCTCTGAACAGATTGCTTTTTTTCCCTTCTTTCTGATAACACACATTCTCAGGGGGCATAATCTCAAGACTGTAATTATTTGGTCAAAGAGTATGACTATTTTTGTAATTTCTATGGCACACCACCTACTGCTCTCTCTTGCAAATAAAAAATGTCCATACTTGTTAGTATTATTAAAGTTGAATATGTAACCAAGATCAAAATATTTTTATTAAAGTCAAATACTTTTACATTAGCTCAAAGTTTCTTGTGTGCATGAGGATGAGCAAAGTAGTATAGTGGGAAAAGTGCTATGATTGTTGTCAAAAGACCTGGGTTCAACTCTTGACTCTTTCCCTTTTTCTGTGACTTCAGACAGTCCTTATCCCCTCCCCATACAATGAAAGGGTTGAACCAGGAGGTGTTTAAGCTCCCTGCCAGCTCTAAATCTAAGGTTCTGGGATAAATTTAGAGATGCGACCAATCAGAATACCCCAGAAACTGGTCATGATGCAAGATTTTGAGATTTTTGTGACTTAACTGTACTACAGATGGCCATATTTGGAATACTGGAGTAACTAAGAGATAAAATATTCAGATTCCTATGGGAAAGGAGGAAAACGCCTATTTTTTCAGATATGAAAACTGAAGTTCCATAAAGTGACTTGGTTTAGAGTGACTGAGTCAGAGGAGAGGTCAGCTCTCCTTCTTGGATCCTTATACACCTATTCTATCTGCAATATCAATAATTAGATTGCTACATTTATCCACACTTATTCATTCACACACACACAGATTACCATTACTATCACTACTACTACTACTACTACTACTGCTGCTGCTGCTGCTATTACTACTATTAAAGTGATAGAACCATAGTTGATCAGCCTGGCCCTAGGAGGCAGAACTAAGAGAAATGGATGGAAATCTAAAATCTGATTCCAAATAAAGAACACTTCCTAGTAGTGAGAACTATCCAAAAGTGGAACGCACGTTCCCTCCCACTGGAGATCTTCAGATGAGGTATGCTACAAAAGGGGCTCCTCTTCAGACACAGATTGGACCTGAGAGACCACGAGTTTCTGTCCAGCTCTTGAGATGATGTGACCCTAATTCTTTGACCTGAAAGTAACACGCAAAGACACGTGAAACAAACAGCGCTGAACACGCTTACCATCTTTCAAGCCTTCATATCCCATGGAATGACGTATTTCTTTCAGGGTGGATCCATGGGCTCCCAGTTCCACCATTCCCATTGCAATAGCAATACTCAAAGGAGAGAAGAGAATATTTTCATCTTCCCCAGTGGCTCGTAGATGATTATACACATTCACAGACAATTCTGCAATGGTTTCATCGGGAAAATTGGTGCTAAGAGCTGCACTTGGCAGAACAAGCAAAGCCAAGAGGCCAAAGAAAGTCATGTTTCCAAGGTTTCAGTCTGAAAAACAAAGTACAAAGATATTAGTCATGTGAAATTAGACTCAAATAAATGGAGGGGGGATAAGAATAGACAGATAGATAGACAGACAGACAGACAGACAGATAGACAGACAGATAATTTACTAAGCACTTACTATGTACTGATAGCGAAAGAGAGAAGGAGAAATGAAAATTAACAATTAAGAAGTTAAATGAACCTTTTGAGGAAAACAATTATTATGGAGAGAGACAGCTAATCCTTGCCTCACAAGGACAGGCTGAGCTCTTTTCACATATAACCACGGAGGCTATCTATAAGCCACCAACCCTAACCAGGAAGCCAACAAAAGCCAGGGGAATGTTCCCAGACTGAGTTTAAATCTACTCTTCTAATTGTTGCTTGCTTGGTGCTGGTCTGTGGTCACAGATCTGACTTAGGGTTAGAAGAGTCTTCATAAGCCTGTCTATAAAACTGATATCAGGATCTCTGCTAAAAGAAAATCTACTAGCCAAACATGGAAGCTGCACATTGAAGTCAAGGTAAGACCCAAGGCCTAGGTGAAACAAGCTTCTAGGTCACTGTCCTTCCTGTATCACTTATTAGCCACCTGCAACAAAATGTTCATGGTCACTCATTTGCCTCAGCCTGACACAGAAATGCATTCTCTTCACAATTACTCCCTTTAGCATTTGTAGCCACTTTCATTTCCTTGGTCTCCAGAATTCTCATTAAGGATGACTTCCAAATGCAGCACTTATGTGACTTCAGGAGGATCAACCGTTACTAAGATGAAAGCATTTTTAAAAGGGGAGGATGCAGGATCCTTTCTGAAAACCAAGCCAGTCATGGCTAGAATTAGTGAAGGCAATTACAAGCATTAATAGCTTCTCCACAAATCCTCTGGGATTCCAGAGCATCCAAGCTCATCTCCATTTCTACAAAGCTGATCGGGGAGAGGAGATGGCAACGGCCACCAGAACACAGATGACATCTACAAAACTCTTCAAAGTTTGAGGAGCCCTTTATCAACATCGTCTCCTTCAGTAAGAGATAGCATGACCTACGGCAGAGAACACTGGCCTCAGACTCTGGGTTCAAGTTCTGCCTTTGAAACATACAAGCTGGACAAACCCGAGCATCCTCTCAGTTCCCCAAGTTACTCTCCCATCCACCAAGAGGCAGAACAGAGGGTCTCCTTACAAATTAAGTCCCAGGACCCACACTCGCTTCCAACTCTAGATCTTATCTGAGCCTCACAACAGCCCTGAAGCAGACACTGAAGGTATTAATATCCCCATTTTATAGATAATAAAGTAAGGCTCCAAGAGGTTGTGACTTCTTCCTGATCACCGGGGGAAAAGGCTGAAAATGAGCTTAACTTGTATCAGAAGCAGGATTTGAACCTGTTTCTCTCCTGACTCCGAAACACGGCTGGTTTAAGCAAATTTATATGTACTAAAATATCAAGCTCAGTAATGCTGTGCCCACCTTGAATAAACCTGGGAAACTCCACTTGATGGGCACCCACAGGTAAGAGGATGGCTTTTTTTTTTTTTTGGCTTTTCCTCTCAGTGCTGGGTTAATGTCACCTGAGCCTCAGGTTTTCCCCTTTGTTCTAGGAAGTGTGTGTGTGTGTGTGTGTGTGTGTGTGTGTGTGTGTGTGTGTGTTTAATTATAACCCACTTCCTTCCCATGGGTTTGGGAATGGGTTTGACCCACAGCTCTTTTTAACCTCTTGCCACCAGCACACTCCAAAGCAATTTGTAAAGCAGTTTTTAAAAGGTCACTTAGCAGGGAACATCTACATTCACTGTGGCTCAGCAGGGCAGGCGCACACTTAATACAGGGGCTGTATATTTCAAATGAGTTGCACTGAGTGGAAATGTGGTGATTCTTTTATTCCCCAACACAAGGGTCAGGGGAGGCCCTCTCTATTTGTTCTTTTATATTCAGGGTTTCCCATCTGCCAAAGGCTTATGCCAAAACACAAACAAAAACAGCATAATAAAGACTGAACAAATCTCAGCTTTCTGCTTGAGAATTTCCAAGTTTTGCTTTCCCTTGACAATTTTCAATATAGGAACTCAACGGGGTAAGGAATGTCATAAGACTGCTCATCAAAAGATACCAGTGGGAGTGAGCTGGTGCCATTGCAGGAGCAGGTACAATACTTACCGAGACTGTGTAGGAGATGAAGCAAAAAGGATGCCGTGGGAGAGATGGATGGTTGGAAAAGAAGGTGAGCATGTCATGGATTGAGTGTGGGGAAGAACAATGTTCATCCCTCCTTTGGCACCCTTCAATACCTAGGGATCTAGAGTAAGGCGCCTAATAAGGTGGGTGGACACCTTGTGGAGGGAACTCATGGAGAACAGCTGCCCCGGACAGACAATATACACAGCTGGGACCACAAGTCCACTAAAGAAGTTTTCTCTCTAGGAATGGGTGATCTGGACCTGGGATTTTGTCAGTTTAGAGAACGTCCAGTATGGAAACTCCCTCCATAGTTGTAGATCTTATATCATAGATATAAGCATTAGGAAGAATCTGAGAATCAAACTAGTCTAATCCCCTCATCAGAGGTTAAGTGACTTACCTAATATCACCCAAGTACCATATGCAAAGCCAGGCCTGAACTCGATTATCAGACTTCAAACCAGGCAGCCTTTCCCCATTCTGCTTTCTGGGAAGTGGGCTGCAGGTAATAGTCTTAGAGAGTTACCTGGAGCACTCAGAGATTAAATGAATTAGCCATGAACAGAAGTCAATGTAAATCTCCATCTGTTTCTTTCTAGCTTTGTCTCTAACCCTATATCTCTTCCTAACCTTCTCTATCATCTATTTATCTATCCATCTCCCTCTCTCTCTATGTGTTTCTCTGTCTCTCTGTGTGTTTCTCTATCTCTCTCTCCTCTCTATCTTTCTGTATCTCTCAAATTAATGTGGCTAGAGGGTGTCATGACAACTGGGGAGATGAGGAAAGGCCCCATGTAAAAGGCAGTATTGAGCTGAGTCTGGAAGGTTGCTAGGGATTCCAAGAATTCCCTTTCCATTCTACAACCCCTTAAATACTCTTTTTTCTAGTGATATTAGCCTCCTGGCTGTTCCACAAATAATTTACCATCACTTAACTCCAAGTATTTTCTCTGGCTATCCCCTAAGCCTGGATTTTCTCATCATCATCTTTATCTCCTGACTTCCTTCAAGTCCCAACTAAATCTGTCTCCTAAAGGAAGCTTTTCCCAATCCCTCCTGATTCTAGTGCTTTTCCTCTGTTAATTATTTCCTACTTACCCTGTACATAGCTTGTTTGTACATAATGGTTTGCTTATTGTCTCCTCCACTGGATTGTGAGGCCCATGAGGACAGAGATGCTTTGTTTTGTTTTTTGGCTTTTTCTTTGTACCTCAGTGCTTAGAACAGTTGCTGGTAGTAGGGGCTTAATAAATGCTTAATGATGAATTCAGATCCTTCTGACTCTGAGACCAGCCCTCTATATATCCATTGGTATACAATGATCATGGATGGTTTGATCAACACCCTCTGTGTCCCTTACCTCTCCTTTCCCTCCCTCCCCTTTCCCTACAACTACACATTCATACCCTCAACTCCAATAATGAGGTAAGGGGAAAAATGTATTTGATTACTTAAAAGAAACTGCCTCCCTAAGTGCTGAAAAAAAATGCAAAGCAGGGAAACTGAAAATCCAACGGTAAAACCTACTTGGAGGAGCCATATCTTGAACTAAGTATTTTTTTAAAGCTCTTTAAACACAGACTGGATGCCCATTTGTTGGTATGTTGTAGAAGGGATCTTGTTTGGGCTATGAGTTGGTGGGTTGAACTAGATGGCCTCCAGGTCCTTTTGACCTCTTTAAAATCTAAAAAACTTCACATTGCCTAGCTATGGAACTTGGGGATGGATAAGGATGGACAAGAGAGTATTCTAGATAAGGGAACCACACGAACAAAGAAAGGAACCAGGGAGAGGCCAGAGTCACAGAATCACACATTCAGAGTCGGGAGGGATATAGAAGCTGTCTAATCCACTGCCCCATTTTAAAGAAGTGGAACCTGGCTTGGAAAAAGTATGCTGACTTGCTCAAGGTCACAGAGCTGGCATACAGCAGAGCTGCTACTTGCATGCTGACCCTCTGACTCTGTTGTGAAGAGTCTGTGCTACTCTCAGATTCCTGAGCACAAGAACATCTGCTTTTCAAGACTGAGCATCAGCCTTTCTCAATCTGTTTGCTTTCCTGTCCATTTAGATACACAGAGAGTTAAAAAGCAGTCATGGGCCAACTACCAGATTCATTGACTTAAAGCCTCATTTCTTTTATTTCATGTTATCGAGTTGAGGTTTGGGGAAAATGAAGCATTCCCTATCAGAACTGCCAGCTCTTCCTATGTAGAACTGTTGTTTCAGTTCCAGTGATGAACTTGGAGGTACTTGTCCTTAAAGTATAGCATGATGTGGTGACTAGAGTCTCCAGCTCGGGAGACAGGAAGACGTGAGTTCAAATCCTGTCTTCAATACTAACTAGATGCTTCACCAAGAGCAAAGCCCTTAACCTCGCTGTGCCTCGTTTTCTTCATCTGTGAAATGGGGATGACGCCACTCATACAGTATGTATTTAAAACAAGTCTACTGAATAGAATTAGTGGTTTGGAAAGGGTCTGCACCATGGAAATAAGGACTCTCACAACACTTACTAATTCCTTAGTGACCCTTTCAAGGATGGGACTACAGCAACCTCAGTTTTTAGCAGCAAGAAAGTAGCGCATTTCCTTTCCATTCCGTTTCTTGCCTTCCTATTAGCACAAGGTCTCCTTCATGCCTGGAATGATTGAGCTTCCTCTGACCTGGAGAATCTCGGTTCGGTATTTAACACCCTTAATAATACGTCTCTAGGTTTATTTCACATCACTTTCTTCAGGTGTGCTCATGCTCCAGTCAAACGCCCTATCTGCTATTCCACGTGCTACTGCCTCACAAACATCCCTGCCTTCACACAAACT